ACTCGCGTCGGAGACCACGCCTTCTATCTCCACACCTCGAGAAGGGATGTAGATGTTATACTCAACACTAAAGAGCTCGTGATCAGCAATTTTATTTGCCACATCATAAGTCGGTGCTTCTACACGCAGTTTGTTGAATCTTTCTTTGTGTACCAAGATTCCCGGATACTTACGCAGCAAATCTCTCGTTATGTCGAGAGTTTTCAAAGGTTTATTTTTGGGCCGAAAAAAGACAACCCATGGTCCTTTCGAAGACGGTTCATAGTATCTGGTTCGCGTAACGTAGGCATCGGAAGATGCCATAAGTGTTGCGCAAAAGCGGTGCGCAACCACTTAAGAAGGAAAAAAATTAAAACCTTCACTAATTAATTAATTTTAATTACTAGTAATTAAATTTTTTGCCCGACGTACGAACAAATCAAAAAGAAAAAAAAAAAAAATCGAAACAAAAAAAAACAAAAAAAAACTTATATCTACTTGCAAAAAGTTGTCTCACTATGGCCCATACTCCCCTACCAGGGGTGAGAGACAGAGTCACGCGCCACGAGGCAAAATTTAACTACAATAGGGAGGCAATGGACTTGCAAAATGTATTGTCTAATACTTATGCCGGTTGTAAACAACCTATCAGCCGGTGCAGCTAGATGGTCCGTTTGCTGCTGCTGATGGTGATGTTGGTGTTGGTGGGTCGGCACGATGATGAAAAAATGGCTTGACGACCGGATGGATTACCGGGGTGAATTAAAGCTGGATGGCAACTCCAAGGGGCTCGGCCCATGGAATTCCACTTCCTCTGTTGCACACTGGTCACTTGGGGCACCCAATGGGGGGTGAAAAAACCGCTCGGGCGGAAAAAAAACTAGATGCCGCGTGACTGAGACCGGGACGTTGTTAACCGACTGAGTGTTCAACTAGGAATGAGTGACTTTGCCTTAAAAAATGAGTCTTTTTAGTGACTGGCTTGAAAAAAGGTGATCAAGTCACAAAAAAGTGACTCGCTACCAGCCCTGTAATGGTGGATTTTTCATGTCCACAGTTTGCTCAGGTTACTCTGGAGCAGGTTATAAGTGCCCCGGGGGAAGTGGCCAATTTCAAGCATGACCGGAAACATATTAATATCGATGTCAAACTTTAAGATTTTACAAGCCAACACCAGTAGCAGTTTTATAAGACAAATCTAGATAGAGCTGGAATTAGGGCCTAACAGCTTTTGTAAACAATAACTTCTCTCGATGATTTCTAGAAACTCAAGGCTCGCCCAATCAAATCAATATCACCATAACGTATGGGAAGTCTTCCCCTATCCGATGGTTATAATCGTCTGCGTTGGCGTGCCTTGAGTTCCTAGAAATCATCGATAGTTGTCATTGTTTACAAAAGCTGTTAGGCTCTAATTCCAGCTCTATCTAGAAATATCAGGTTGCTCTTTAGCAGGTTCTGGATGCCCCGGGGAAAGTAACCAATTTGGAACATGATCTAAACCATATGCGTATCCCGAGGGGAGTGGCCAGTTTCGTTGTCCAGAACCTGCTTCAAGGAAACCGGGGCAAGCTGTGGACCTGAAAAAGCTACCACTGGCATTGGCTTGAAGTTATACATCCATAATGGCCACTCTCCCCGGAGCATCTAGAACCTGCTTCAGGATTACCATGGCAAGCTGTGGACATGGAAAATCTACCACCGGCAATGATTTGAACAATCTTGAAGTTTGACACTCATATTGATATGGTTCCGGTCATGTTTCAAATTGGCCACTTCCCCCGGGCATCCAGAACCTTCTACAGAGCAACCTGAAATTTGCTTTATTAAACTGCCACTGGTTTAATTTAAGTTGATGTAAAATCTTAAAGACTTACATCCATATTAACATGATTTCGGTCATGCTCAAAATTAGTCGTTTCCCCCGGGCACTCAGTAACCTGGGCAAACTGTGGACATGAAAAATCCACCATTGGCATTGGCTTGCAAAGTATTGAAGTTTGACACCCATATTTATATGGTTCCGGTCGTGTCCCAAAATGGTCACTTCTCCGAGACATCTAGAACCTGCTTCAGGATGGTCATCGCCACTTTTGACGCTGAAATGAATCTGGAGATATCGCACTGAAAAATCATGAGGATTGACGTGATTCATAAGATTCACATTACTGGTCACTGGTCTAAAAAGAACGAAAATTGGACGTTTTTAGGGGGTGTCCTTAAACTTATGATCGGGAGTGTACGGTTTTATAAATTTCTCCATTCAACTGAGCAAAAGTGCCTCACTCTCTGAGTTAGTCTCGTTGTCCGTGCACACGTAAATGCAGGGATTTTATTTTGTTCTAGACCCCTCGACATTTTGAAATTAGTCTAAATGAAAGGGAGACACTGTATAGTAGCGCCACTTGGGAAATTCTCAACTATTGTACACTAAGCAATAGACATTGACCTCATGAACAACTTTTTCCAAGACAGTAATGTTCTACCTGTTCAGGATCTCGAGCTATAGCGTACGCGAGAGTTGTACACGTTTACTAGCGCCACGTGGTGAGAAAATTCTGGGCTACTGTCCACCAGCCAAAAAATCTTGACCCCCGGAACAAGTTTGCCGAAAACATTAACTTTCTATCTGCTCAGGATCTCGAGCTATTGTATATGCGAGAATTGCATGTGTATTCTAGCACCGAGTAGTGAGAAAACTGTCCACCAACGAAAAGATCTTGACTTCCTGAACAACTTTGCAAAAGACATTTACTCTCTATCTGGTCAGGATCTACTGATGTATCACATGCGAGAACTTAACATGTATACGAGCACTACCTAGTGAGAAGATTCTGAACTACTGTTCACCAGCAAAAAGGCTATGATCTCCTGAACAGCTTTGCCTAAGACAGTAACTTTCTATCTGGTCAAGATCTCGAGATATTTTATGTGAGAATTTCACGAGTATATTAGCGCCGTGTAGTGAGAAAGTTCTAAACTACTGTCCACCAGCCAAAAATACTTGACCCCCTGAACAATATTGTCGAAGACAGTAGCTTTCTATCTGCTAAGGATCTTGAGCTATTGTATATGCGAAAATTGTACGTATATACTAGCGCCACGTAGTGAGAATTTTCTGAACTACTCCACCAACGAAAAGATCTTGACTTCCTGAAAAACTTTGCCCATGACAGTAACTTTCTATCTGGTCAGAATCTCGAGATATTTTATAAGAGAATTTCACGTGCATACTAGCGCCGCGTATTGAGAAAATTTGGAACTATTGTGCACCAAGAAATAGGCTTTGATCTCATCAACGACTTTGTCGACGACTGTAACTTTCTATCTGGTCATGATCTCGATATATATCACATGCGATAATTTCACATGTATTCTAGCGCTACGTAGTGAGAAAATTCTGAACTACTATCCACCAACGAAAAGGTTATGATCTCTAGAACAACTTTGCCAAAGACAGTAACTTTCTATCTGGTCAGGATCTCGAGATTTTCCATGTTGTAACCATTTAAGTCAAATCCCACGTAGTACGGACACCGTTTACGCGGTTTCCATTCACATTTTCTCAATTATCCGCATTTTTGGGGGGTCAACTGTGATAAAAGTTTAGCTTGTATAGTTAACAAGTTTGTTAAGGAATACCCGTTGGTTTCATATCGATTGGTAGCTCGGCTGCAAAATGGCAATGGAAAACTCACACTGTTGTACAAAGTACAACGCGCGAGTACTCGTGTTACAAAAGTTGGCGCGAGTAACGGAGGGTTAAGTGTAAAAATTCATTAGTGTTGATTCAAATGATAAGATTTACCCACTCTTTGCAGCATGTTTACAGTAAACTATGATCCTAATCTGTCAATTACTTTAAAGAAAACTAACTTTCAACATTCTCATTCTCACGTTCTCATTCGCCGTGTATTTACGTTCAAAATCCTTACTAAAATAGTACCCAATGCCGTCTGTATCTTCAATGGTTGCAGGGACTTTGAAAACTGGTGTTTATTAGAAATCGGCAAAAAAGGGGGTGGTCTCCAGCGGCGGGAGGTAGGCCGTATAAAACTTTAGATTTTTCAATATTGGTACATAATAAGCTATTCCACCAATTTTGATTTAAATCGGAGAGGGCCGATACAACTGCCCGGTCACTTCAGATGGAATGACCCTATCACTTCAAGTGGAGTTCCAGTTTCATTGTTGTGTGTTTTGTGAGAACTGCTATTTGTGCTCTTTAAATTTCGAAGTGAAACTGAAATAAATCAGAAAGAAAGATTCCACCATTTCCACCTTAAGTTGTTTATATGAATCCGAATATTATTGCTCACTCTAGAAGTAGTACCAATAGACTGAGTGAATACAGTCTTTACTTTTCTCATATGCCATCGCTGAGTTCCGGCACTTTGTGCTTTATGAGTGAACTTTACTCAAATTTGGGTCGTTCTGATTCAGCGAGTCTTCAAGTGATTTTCCATAGCTTTACTGTTCTTGTTCTATAATCTATCATTTGATGATTCCTCCAATATCGAATTGTTTTAGGATAACCCTGACGAAATTTGCTCTGCTTCATGATATGCGTTTATAATCTATCCTCTCTGCTCTCTATTAAACGCTGGCCAGACTTAGCAGTTATAACATGTTATAACGGTTGTCAATTAATTGCAACACAGAAACCACCATCAAGATAGCGCTATAACATGTTATAACTCTGTAGTCTAATAGTACGTTCAGACTACAGAGTTATAACATGTTATAACGCTATCTTGAGGGTGGTTTCTGTGTGGCAATTATTTGACAACCATTATAACATGTTATAACTCTCCAGTCTGGACAGCGTCAGTACCGGTTCATGTTTTCAATTTGCCTTAAGGAAAATCCATAAATGACGTAGCATTCTAGGGTGACACTGACCAGCCATGTAGAGAAATACGCTACAAGGAGGAGGGGGTCCAAAGTTGGTACTTCATCAAACCTAAACAAACGTTTAACGTCATTTATGGATGGTTCCCTTACAACAATACAGCACTTACCTCTCGCCTGCCGTTGCTCGTTCTCGCTCACTATTCGTTCATTTTCAATCCTAAGTTGCCCAACCTACCCAAGAAAGGCAATCAAGAGGTTAAGTGCAAGGTCACTCTTCCAAATTCGCTATACAAAATCACAAATTATCGACGAACATTTGAAAAGGGCATGCGTACCAAATATAAACAATGACTTCAAAGTCGATATATAGTAGATTAACACTTATTCAGGTAAATCAACAGTAGAATCTGGCAGAGAATTATTGCTCTATTAGATGACGTAGGTAGTTAATTTGCGTGAGTGTGTTATGATTCATGAGAAATCGTCGTTAAAAGTCATTGTTTTCATTCGACACATTGGCCCTTTTAACATCGTTCCCTTTCATACCTGCTCATTGCGAAAGCGTAGCACCACCTGAGCGAGGCGGAACAGCTTCTTACAGCTCTTGCTATCCAACTTCTGGTCGGTCGGGATGGCGGCCAAATCGGCCGCTATCTCGTCCTTGCGCTCATCGGCCAGATTGTGCGGCGACACGGACAGCATGTGGCGCCAATCCATGATTGGTTTTGCCTGGTAGTTAAATTATTGCCATAGAATTATAAATTATTATAAAACTAGAACGTAAACTTGACACGCAACAAGGACCACTTTTTGTTCAACTGGATTTGTTATTGTTTGCCCGTCGCTAGGGGAGAGTCCTGTTGCTAAGGGAGGGTGCATTTCGGCTATGCATCGTGCGCGCGATCCACGTGACTTGTAATGGCGCGAAAGTGGAGGGGGACGGTGCAACAAGAATTTCGAAGAAATTGCGTTAACTATACAATGTAGATATGAAACGTAACAAGATTATATTATATCATCAGGTTATCATAAATTCTTCCCAAATGGGAATTTATCGTTCGTTTTCAGGAAGTAGTTTCCTTTTGCCGTTTTGGGACAAGCAAATCCCAGGGGGATTGCCTTTCCGGGACAGGCACCGGTATCCAGCGAAAGAACCGAGTTACACTTAACCGCCAACATATGATTTTCATTGCCAGGATGAACGGTTTCGGCGTACAGCTCCCAAGCTCGAGCATGGGAGCAAGAAGGATCCAGGCATCCCGGTTGTACAGAAACCACTCTGAAAAAGGAGGATGATGTTTGGAAATGATCATATCTTAGTTGAGAAAGTATATCCTTACCCATTGGGATAAAAGTCCACATCTCCAATCGGATCACGCTTTCCGAGGACCTTCGCATTGCTATGAATTATGTCTACAAATTCCGCATCGCCTCGGCAAATACCGCTCAGTGCTTCTCCCTCGTTGAAGCATGGGTTTGCTGGATCCAGCCCAGTTATCCTGGGAAGAGTGCGATCCGTCAACACCTGAAAATGTCTTCCGGCACTTCCCACAATATGTGCTCCGAGGCTATGGCCGATCAGGTGGATCTTTTCCACCGGCACAAATTTGATTAGCTCCTTCAAGCCGACGGCCAAGGCCTCGCCCAGTTCGTTGGTATTGAACGCGGACCAGGAGTACAAGGTATCCACATAATCCGAAGTATCGATAACAACAAAGTTGTACCCTCCTCGGACTTGATAGGCACTAAAAATGGTATCGATGGCCTTGTTCGATCCGTTAATGTTGGACGTCCATCCCGTTACCAGGATTACCGTTTCGTGCGAGTCGTTGAACAGAGAATTACTCCATAGAGTGTCCGATTCCATCAACGGCACGGTGATGTTTTCCGAACCGGTCATCAAGATGTAGTTTATTTCGGTAATATTAACCGAATCCTCCGATTGGGTTGCATTCGAAGACACCGCAAAGGAACCTGAAACATTAAAACACACATCAATCACAACCCAATAACTGAATCCAATTGCATTTGCTATACTGCCGCTATTCGCACGTCCGTCCCATAGCGAAAATCGCGTTTTAAGTTTGCTTCGTACCATTGCCAATGTGACTGTCTTTCCAAACTTTTCAGAACAAAGTTGATGAGTAGTTTGCTACCATTTGCATTGAAAAACTCAGTTTTGACAAAAACGACTATGGGACCGACATGCGAAGAGCGGCAGCATATAGGGTACAAACAAATCTTATTCAGCACAGCGGCCAATGCTTCCAGCGGCACTCCGGCGATGGACTGCTTTCCGAATTCCAGCAGCTGCTCGGGAGAGAAGATTTCCGGTACCTTCTCGGCGACTGCTTTGACCGTCTTGCCTGCAACCTTTGCCACATCGCCCGTCGATTTGGCGAAGCTCGAAAAATCGAACGCCGAATGGTAGCAAAGTGACGACACCAGCAGTACCAGCACCGGTACCAAGTGATGCTTATTCATCGTTCCTGTTGAATGCGAAACGTAATCAGTCAGATCAGTCGAAACAATGTTCGCCCCGCCAAATCCATGGGAAATCTGAACAGCTAATAAATGACTATGCAGTTCTGCTTATTATCAGTCAACTAAGGCATGATTTAGTTCGTACATTACAACGCATATGGCTCAGTGTTTAAATTGTTAACGCATGATTAGTGCCGCCGCATGTTCCCAACTGGAGACGAAAAGTGTGCCTCGAGCGGGAATGTTTTCTCGGATGAAAGGTGATTCATGCGGCGAATCGGTTACAGAGCGTTTAGCGTTTTGTTTTCTAGATGCTTCAGTGATACGACTCAGCAGCAACTTCTGTTCGTTCGAACTGTTCTGCCAGATTGTGTCGTTCTGGCAATTATCCTAACAATCTAGAATTCAATGCAAATTGTCTTTTGACGACAAACGATGTGAAGCGGAAAATTTCAATCGATCTTACATTATGCGTGATTAGGTTCGTTAATTTGCGTTTAATTCTGATTAAGAAATCAGTTGCACATTCCTAGTCCATGAATTATTTTTTGTTATTATTATTCTTTTTTTTTCTTTTTTTAAGAGGTTTTTAGCCTAAAGGCTGGTTTGCCTCTGGGGAATTATTATTGTTATAGTCTCTTTAACACTCTTGGGTCATTCGTGACATGTCCGGGGTGAGATTTGAGCTCGTAACTTTGTCGTGAGACGTATGGATTTTTTTTTCTTGATTTGTTTTCCGTCGAACTTGTTTTCCGTGCTGAGCACCAGTGCTACCGAGGCCAGGGAGGCAGCTCCCACACCTGCTTTTTGCCAAAATGCAAATCTACTGCCTATATATATACCGGCTGAATAAGTAATGTTTATCCCCAGAAGCTCCACCACGGTGATTAGGAGGCCTTAGGTCACTTGCTGTCCCCGAAGCTCATAAATTGTTCAAGAAACAAACAGAGAAAGATTGGCTTCTAATTCACCGGTTGCTAATGAATTAGCTATGCGATGTGTTTCATCTCTAGCAAAGCAGAATCATACGTCGCTCTTAGGTCGATTCCACAGGGAAGCGAAGAGGCGAGCGAAGCGTTGAAAAGAATGTAAGGAATGATATCAATTATGGAAATTGTCAACGCTTTGCTCGCCTCTTAACTTCTCTGTGTTTGAACTCTTCAGCCGGTTGCTTCAGCTTTCTTCTCAGACTCTAGGGGTTGATCACTCGCCACAGCGTGCCAAAATTAAGCTTGGGCACACATGGGCACACTGGTTGCACCCATGGTTACAATTTTTCTGGCCTTTAAAATAACTGGCAACACTGAACTTTTCTGCGCCTGCGCAGTGCATGTGTCAAAATTTCCTATTGAAGTTGCCACAATCCAATTTTAAAAACCACAACCGTGAATCTCCACCGAGTCCCGTCATTGATTCTTCAAAATCGAATTGGATTCATCTGAACACAGTCAGCGCACATCCTAATGCCTATCCAAAGCATTTAATACATCATTCCGCGCAGGGCTGCGTACAATTATTCCGATCATCCAGCTTGAAAAAAATCATTGCAATCACTGGAGCAGAGCTGAAAATGATCAAAATCGCTTAGATAGCAGCATGTCTCAATTGAATTCAGCATTACAATGTAAATTAAGTTCTCATCCCTTCCGGGTTCATGATATCCTTCAGCTCCGATATAAAAATCGTTACACAGTCTCCCGTGACGGGAGTCCCGTCCACATTTCCTACTATCTGATCTGGGCTCTGTCCGTTCATTATATATAAGACATCAAATCAAGAAGACTGGCAACTCTGCCAGAATCCAAGCGACAGATACAGTAGCGCTGCGCTCGAGTGAAGGTGGAAGTAATACATAGAAAAATGAGCAAAGACACAACCTTTCTTCTGAGGTTGTTATCTTTGCTATCAAATCGTTCGAAGCATTTACCTTTGAGCGGCAGATGACGCGATTGTGTCGGTCTCATAGCGGTCGTATGAGAAAATTGAAGAGTTGCCAGTCTTTTTGATATGTTGTCTTCGATTATATGCTATTATATGTACAGAACGACTGACATCGTTCGTTTGAGTTTTAGTCGGAAAGTTAATAGCCAACCAAAACAATGCCATCACACTTCGCCTCTGACTGGAACTGTTTGTTTTCGGTTTTGCCTGCTATTACCACCGACAAACCGACATGAAACCTAAACTTAACTCTTGATCGAGGATCCATAACGGCGGATTCAAATGTGCAGCGATCCCATCTGTCAAAACCATAGAAATTTGTTATCTAGATAAAAATAATTTGCCCGGAATAGATTGGACACGAACCAACTCATACATTTTGTATGTGTGTTCGTGGCTAGGATACAAATTTTTCGCGAACACGGCGGCAGATGTCAGTTTTGTGCTTTGATCAGAAATTTGATGGTACTTTGTAAGGTCATTCATGTCGGTTTGTCGGTGCTATTACCAACAATCAATACAAAACTAACGATTTTAAATTGGCTCACCACTTTAGTAGCCTATTGGTCCCAAGCAAACGATTAACGTACCCTATTCTAGTTGAAATTCTATTACTACACTATGTTTGTTTTGATTCGCTATGAAAGTTTGACAGATAACATCAGGGGTGTGTGGATTCATGCAGAACATGCAGGGGTGAGTGAAATAGCTTGGGACTGCTTGGGACCGTTGTTCTGGTACTGAGTGAGCCAAAAATAATAATGATTTTCTTCGGGACCCAGTGGTCTTAGAGTTACCTCTATGCTATTACCATAGAGGTAACTCTAAGACTAGAAGGTCCCGAAATAACGTGCTCAACTTTTTGGCTCAGCTCTGGTACTCTCTTCGGTCCCAAGCTAATCGATTCACCCCTCGAAACATAGGAAAAACCAATAACCCCTCATTTTATCTGTCAAACTTTCATAGCGAATCAAAACAAACATTGCGTAGTACTAGAATTTCGACTAGAATGGGGTACGTTAATCGTTTGCTTGGGACCAATAGGCTAGTCAAGTAGTGAGCCAATTTAAAATCGTTAGTTTCGTATTGATTGTTGCTATTACTGCTGCTACTACATCAACCGTTCCATCATCTAGTATAGAATGTTGCAGGATCGTCTTGGCAAAATCCTCCCGCAAGGTCCGTATCTCAGAACGGAAATGTTGTACATAGAGTAGAGAACTACTTCGGCCTAATCGCCCATTTTGGGCCTATCGAGCAGAAAACTTCAAATTAATCCATGATTTCAGAGTTAACAAGTCAATTATGCGTTTGGTATTGCGCGTTTCACACCAAATTGGACTAATAAGTGCGTTTTCACTTATTAAAAAGTGTGATAAAACTGCAAGTTTACGTCTAATCATCTTGGTGTCTTCGGTGCACTTATTCCTTATGATGCAAGCAATAAGTGCTCCGAAGACATCAAAACGATTTGACGGAAACGTGCACTTTTATCACACTTCTTTGCATTTTTGGGACAGTCCAGTTTCAGATGCAATCAGCAATACGATACTTTAGTTAATAAGCTACGGAACGAAGTCAATAAGAACGCGTGATATGAAGGTTTGCACCCATTATTCCCAAAAACAAAAGAAGCGCTCCGACCGAATCAATTTTTTATCTTTATCCGATAGGCCGAAGTGAATTCATTGGCGTTTCAATGCGTCAGGCCGAGTTTAGAATCCGTAGGCCGAGTTTGGCGTCAAGAAGCAGTTTTAGACTTTTGACAATATCTCAACGATTGGTTTCTCTTTATTTTGCGGAAAGGTAAATAAATTTGGAAGCCATCAGTAATAATAACATTCCGTTTGGTGCTAAACTGCGCTAGATTAAGCAAAACTAAGTGCGGGTTGTGCTTAATAGGCCGGAAATGGGGTATTTAACCCTACTCCCGGGTCATCTCAGATTTCGAAGAACAAAACATAAGCAAGAACTGTCAAAATACCGGGTTGCCAAACAAGGCATTATTCACAAGCAAACAGAAGTCAGATCAATGCCTTCTCGGTACTGGCGGCACACGTGAGGCAAACTGAGAAAAAGTTGGCGCAAAATAAGTGTGTAGAGTGACCAAACCTTGTTCAGACCTTTTTTCCATTCGTCACTTTGACACACTTCTCAGGAAAATTTCCATTAGGTCGATGAAAGTAATAACTTCAAACGTCAATTGTCCGGAATTATTTTGCAAATTAGCACTACCATTATCAAGTTGAAAATTTCCTGATGGTAGTATTAGTTTGCGTGGGCTAGCTAGCAGTTCCTAAAAATACGTTAGAAGTACAGGTCGATACCTCGAAATTGATAATTCAATCATACAAATAACTATTACCAATGGATGGGGGTTTGTTTCATATGTCCGATGTTGTTATTCTTTTGCTTGATTAAATGATCGATTGCGGGAAATCGGCAATGGAAGTAAAACTATAAGGGACATCCCTATGGGGTTGTACGCAAAGGTGGCGTAGGACTACGTGGTCTTATATAATAAATCTTATTTGTTAACTGCAGCAGGAGCTTGTGTTTTGTGTAGGAATAGGAATTTGAGCGGAGTTCACTCTGTTTACATTCTTTAGTATGACGCGTTTGACATAGATGGCCCACAGCGACTCACGAAGAGCGACTGATTCAAATCAATAGCGGTGCGACTTCTTCCTCCTATGGATGCTAATTTGGGCTGCAGCTTGCTGCTTTCAGGCAGTCTTTCATTATGTACTGAAGAACAACACCACTCACCACGAGGTGATTGAATAAACACCATTTGGTGAGACCGGATGGAATTCAACTTCGAAATCTGTGTTAGGGAAATCGCTTTTCGGAAGCAATCGGTGATAATTTTAATTTTCATAGCAACAGTTATACATTCGTGCAATTCTCTGCCTCCAAGAACAAGGTATGTTAGATTTAAACATATCTAGATAGAGCTGGAATTAGGCGTAACAGCTTTTGTACATAATGACTTCTCTCGATGATTTTTATGAATTCAAGACACGCCCACGCAAACTAACATTACTGTCGAGTGGACTTCCCTTGCCCTAACTGATTATGATGTAGATTTGCGTGGGCGAGCTATGACTTTCAATACATCATCGAAAGAAGTCATTGTTATCTAAGTTGTTACTCCCTTATTCCAGCTCTATGGAAACTGACATCCGATTGATAACCTTGGCAAATGTCCAAAAAGTACTCTTTTACAAATTTATGGTGGACCTGAAAAGGACCGTTTTGTCGTGATGCTAATGCTAAGCTATTAGGTTGTTCAACACGGATGAGGCTGGTGAGCTGTATGTTGATTGCAATGCGGGTGACGCGCTTGGCATAGATGGCCCACAGTGAGTTACGAAAAGCTATTCCGATCAATAGCGGTGCGGCTTCTTCCTCCTTCTATGTATGCACATGTGGGCTGCAGCTCACTGCTTGCAGGCAGCCTTTCGTTGTGTACTGGAGAACAATGTTTAACGCCACACGCCGAAAGCACTGCTTCTGCTGCTGATGCCGAGGACCGGACACCAACACACACTGTGATTGGACTGAATCCAATCAGCGGTTGAGGGCAGCCTTGATAGCTAGCTACTTGCGGGGAGCCTTTCTTTGTGTACTGGAGAACACCACCACTCACCACGCGGTGATTGCATAAACCGGATGTTAGGGAAATCGCTTTTCGCAATCAACCGGTGATAATTTGCACATTCATAAAATTTTCAATAGTGACATTTGAAAAATGATAAAGTCTTTAGTTTAACAGATACGTAGAAATATTTCTGATCCATTGATGATAAAATTATTGAAATGGGTCTAGAGGCAACTGAATTATTAACGTTCAAAATCTTTCATAATTTTGTTACATGTTCCATTTTCGGTTTTAACAAAGTGTACTTCCATATAGAAATCACAGACGTAGTCCTACGTCAAAAAATGACAGTTACGTTATAATGAGGTATGCCTGTAATTGTTTATATTATTTGTTACATTCGATCTAATGGAAAATTTCTCGAGATTTTATGTCATTCCTGACTGCAGAAATGCCGCGAATACAACGTGCTCACACATCATTTATTCATCTATTTCAAATCAGCATACTACACAGTTGATCGATATCAGCTATGGCAGATTATGCACGAGTACGGATTTCCAGATAAACTGACGCGATTGGTCAAGGCGACGATGGATCGAGTGATGTGCGTTGTTCGAGTATCGGGGACACTCTCGAGTCCCTTTGAATCTCGAAGGGGGTTACGGCAAGGTGATGGACTTTCGTGCCTGCTATTCAACATCGCGTTAGAAGGTGTGATTAGAAGAGCTGGGATAGACACGAGTGGCACGATCTTCAGGAAGTCCATCCAGCTTCTTGGCTTCGCCGAAGACATCGACATCATGGCACGGAACTTTGAGACGATGGCGGAAAGGTACATCAGACTGAAGGCTAAAACTAGGCGAATGGGACTTGCCATCAGCGCATCGAAGACGAAATACATTAGAGGAAGAGTTTCTAGGGAAGAAAATGTTAGCCTCCCACCCCGAGTGACGAAATCGAGGTGGTCCTCTACGGCCACAAGACCTGGATTTTGCTCGTGAAGGACCAACGCGCCTTTGGTGTTTTTGAACGGAAGGTGTTGTGGATCATCTACGGTGGTGTGCAGATGGATGACGGAACATGGAGGAGGTGAATTACACCAGCTGCTGGGCGACTACGGTGGGCACATCGTAAGAATACAGGACGATGACCCAGTGAAAATGGTTCTCGAAAGTGATCCAACTGGAACAAGAAGAAGAGGCGTGCGGCGGGCAAGGAGGATTGACCAAGAAGAAGGTGACCTGCGGAGCTTTCGCAGAATACGAGGCTGGCGACGCGTGGCCATGGATCGAGTATGGTAGATACGACTTCTTCGGACAGCAGAGGACATCAAGGCGTCAGCCTGAATGGTAAGGTACGTAACCTTCAACCACGCATGGACAATCATTCATTTACATTCATTTGCCCCTAACTTTTTTCATCAACAGAATTCCTCAAAATGACGTATGGAATTTTTGTAGGTTTTGCTATTACCTACAACTTTTGTTAACAACTCAAATCCGTATCTCTTATGCATGACGAACCAGAGCGAACAGAAGACACTACTGTTTTTCAATTAATGTATTTTACATTCACTGAAAAACAGTAACAAGTTCTGCCCGGTCTAATTCGTGATGCATAAGAGATACAGATTTGAGTTATGGGTAAAAGTTGTAGCTAATAACAAAACCTCTAAAGCTTTAAACAACATTTTGCGGAATGCTGTTGATGAAAAAAGTTGGAGGCAAATGAATGTAAATGAATGCATGAAATGAATGTAAATGATTTTCCATGCCTGCCTTTAACATAACCTTTTTGATTTCTATTTCTTCAAAAGTGGATTTACTTAAAAGTGAATTGAATTTTCCGTGAAAACGCCATGGAAAACCAGAAAATGCTTCTCGAATATGAAGAAAAACCTAAGACTGAGTGAAAACTCTATCGATTTTCCTTATATTCATGAAATTTTTACCTGGATAAGTTCGGAAAATTGAACTAACTTTTGAGTAAATCCACTTTTGACGAAAATGAGTCGACTAGACTTAATTTTAAGTCGGTCTAAGCGACCGTATGTTGCACTCTGAGCTCACTCGGAATCAACCCCTCGCATTAGGGTGGGGCATATTTTTTTTAAATAGTTCGGGGACATGTGTTCCCATGTGGAAAATAATTATTTGGACTAATTAGGGAGGAGGAAATCCCTTGGAATTATTCACTTTAAATTTTCCTCCGAAGCTCCCTTAGAATGTTCTGAAATTTCTTCAGATTTGATTTAAAATTCTCTGTAATTCTCTTATAAAAGTATCGACAGAAATTGCACTTTGGAATTCACCTTTAGTTATCCTTTCCGGTTTCTTTTTCGAAATTAACTGGAACTTCTGGCGGAATTCCTTTGGAATTTACCTCAGGCTTCCTTTCGAATCATCGGTAGAATTTCTCTACAATTATTTGACGAAATTTTCATCAAAACTTATTTGGCATTCTCATCTAAAATATCTAGATAATTCTTCTAAGTGAATCCTAAGAATCCTAAAACTTTCAAATCTGAGGTATTGAAAAATACGCCATATTTGAAATTTGAAATTTTTCGAAATCTGATATCCTGAAGTATTCAGGAATGTTCAAAACTGGCCTAGCCACAAATTCTTGAAAATTTTATCATGAATTCTTTAAAAAATCTTAGTACAAGATCACAAATGTTATTCCGTAGATATAAGTGCTTTCTGGAAGAATTTCTATGTTAAAATATCACTTTAGAACATTCGACATTCGCTCAATGACCCTTACAAATTTGAAATTCAGAGACTTCTAAAAACTTTATAAATTGTAATCTGAACCTTAAAGATGACTAAAATTATTGAACATAATTTGTCAATTTGTTACAAAATTTTCTAAATTCTATAAATTTGTATTGTTTTTCATTTAGGGGTGAATGGAGGCGAACCAGCCCAAGGCTGAAAGCCTCCTTAATAAAGCTAAATAATAATAATAATAATTTAGGGGTGAACGGTGTTTTTGCTGGTGCAACTCTATGGCGAGCCTACACACTTAGAAATAACTAATTTTACACGTGACGGAATCCATCTTTGACATAAGAGATGAGACGTAAACAAACATATCATGTAATATTAAGTGCTCCGAGACTGAAAAGTTCGTTGCTCGACGAAAAGTACGTTTGATTGAGCTATATTTTGCGTCTGTTATGACTCAAATTTATGTCAAAATTGACGCTCGTATATGTCAGTCTCAGAGCACCTAAATTTACATGAATTTTTCTAAGTGTGTAGTATCCAGAAAGTCGCAAAAACTGGATGGGTACAATACTAAGTTGAGGGCAGACCTAGAGTTCCAGTTGGGTTGTGGTAGTCAAGAAGACGTGGAGTAAGAATATCGTTGAATTCGTTCTAATGAAGTGATGAAATATAATGCCCTGCATGGAAATTACACCAACTGATAATATTAATGCACATATGAGCATGAAGTATTTAAAATCAAACACAGTGACTTCAACGGGTGTACAAACAACGAACTTTCCAAACTATTGCTGACTTAATGATTTCAATTGAAATCTTTAAAATGCTATTGTCATTGATATTTAAACTGCAAAACCTTTTCAATACTTTCACCACTAATCACTTCATCAAAGTTCAGCACGCACCTTATCTTCGAAACACGTTTCTATAAATTAATCGACGGGAACGCGTAAATTTCCTGTTCCACCACGACCGTTGCTTTCTTTACTTCAGTAGAACAATCAGCGTGCGCGGGCACTCCAGCAGCTATCAATTTCCCGCTGTTGACGGCTCGATTCACCAGATCAAACTGCACGTTCGTCTGGGAAAAATTATAATTTTATACCCATTAAAGTACAACAATTCAACCCGCCGCGATTTATTTTATTAGAATAGAATGCTACTCGTGACGACCGACGTCGCCGTCGGCATTGTCGTCGTCTCCTCTCAGCTTGGTTGGCGACGCCGCATTCGGCTATACTGGCTGGAGATGCTGTTTGTAATTCCAGGTTGTTCAAAGCAGCTCGAGTTCTAGGCATCAGTCATAAATGGCGCTTAACTCTTACAGCGTTCTCCCGCATCTCCGTCATGGGATGTTCATTTCATGGATATTCAATGTTTCCTCAAATAATGAAAGCTTATGGCAATTTGTGTCGGAATGCCCATTAAATGTAAATTAATTGTAATTCTACTAAACAAGCCATCCCTATAACCATCTCCATCTGCACTGATTCGAGACATATGAAATTGTGATTACATTTAATGCGTCATCGAGTGATCGCAATAGGAATTTTAAAACAACTTGCTCAGAATTCGTAAAATCGTTTTCAACCTGTGTGCGCGCGCGAGTGCAAATACAGGACCAAAAGCATCGACGACACAAGTGCTTATTATAAATTCGCATGCCAAAGTGACACTATAAATGCCTGTTTTCATTCCCAATGCCAACTGGTTCGTCATGTGGTGCGTCGTTCATCGAATATGAAATTTCTCGACCAATAAGGAAGAAAGAAGAAATCGGAAGTGTTTGCCTATGCCTATTAGTCAAACGAAAGGATATCTTATATGATTAAGCACCTGCAAAGCCGTTTCTAGAAGCGCGAGAACTAGCTTAATAGTCACTTTTGCCATCTCGAGAAGTGGATAGAACGGATAAATTATCTGATTATTCCTTCTCATGCTCCACGTATGTGCAAAATGCATACAGTAGTGTGATGATATCAACAGCAGGGTATTGTACAACCTCGGTCCGGCCAATTGCTTAATAATTCGATAATTGTCCAACTTGTTTTCTCTCTGTAGAAGATGAGAGCAAAAAACTTCTCAATTCATTTGTAGTGCTATGTAAACGATATGTCGTTTACATATAGCTCTCCAAATTCAGAATTTTTTATATTGACTTGTATATTTGTACACTGCAAACTAGCTTGATGATGTGCTTTTGTACACTGAACCAAAATTACATATTCCCGTTAAGTGCAAGTCTAATTAAATTTAAATATAAAAAACCTATTAATATATTATTGAAAATGTGAAAGTTTAATGCTACATGATATCTATCTGATACATTTACAATACTTATTAATTGCTATAGTTTGCACTATAATTTCATATAGGGTACATAGATGTACTAGTTACGGTCATACATTCCTATTATGGAACACACCATAATAGGAACGTATGGCTGTTACTGGTACACCTACCCTGCATGCCATGTGTAAATCTTAAAAACGCACATGTACGTCTTGTTTTGAAAGATCTACTTTATCGACTTTAAACATAAATCGAAAATTAAATATCAGGCAGTGGTATAGCAAGCTATATATTTTTTTCTCTATTTAGGAGATTTTCAGCCGCAGGCTGGTTCATCTCCGGGAGCCCCAGAAGGGGGCTTCCAACATAGCAAACTATAGCTTTCGGTACGTTTTTCTGGTAGCGAGTCACTTTTTAGTGACTTGATCACTTTTTCAAGCCAGTCACTAAAAAGTCTCCTAAGGCCAAGTCACTAAAGTCACCCTTCTTGTAATCAGTCAACAATTTCATCCATTTTAGCGTGAATTTATTTCAAGATTGATCATTCTTCTTGCAACGTGTAGGATCTGAAAGTCCAATCGATGCCTACATATTGTTCTAATTTTCGAACGATTCGAAAGTGTTGTGCTTCTGTAGAGATTAGTGACGTTTAACTCACGCAAACTAGCACCCGCTCTCCGTGTAAAGTTGTTTATTATTTTCCTCTGACTAATCTAAAAAATGTATGAAATCAGATTTGTCAAAATGAGTTTGACACTCGGTTTGACAGCGATTTGTTATGTATTTTCCTCGGATTTCAACTACATAACACGATGCCAGGCCGGCGCCGGTGGTGTAGTGGTAAGCGTGACTGCTTTCTCACCCCAATGGGTCTGGGTTCAATCCCAGCCGAGGTAGGTGGCATACAAATCTCTGCCGTAAAGCCGTTGGTCCACTTAATCTAGCTCGGTAAAATCTCCAACAGCCGATTACCTCAGCATTTACCCTAACAGATATTTTGCAATTGCAAGTCTCGGCAATTGTCTTACTGAATCTCAGCAACATATACAAATTGTATACAAATGGTATTTTTAGGCAATGAAAACAGTTTTTTGTCGCGTTTTAGTATTTGAAGTCGTGGATTTTTTTTGATAGTGAGATCCTGATTAGCCTCCCAAAATTTGAACTCATTCGGTAAGAAACTGACTTGGCACAATCCATTAATTAATTTATCTTTATTAGGGAGGCTTTCAGCCTGGGGCTGGTTCGCCTCCACGGCACAATCTATTTGAAGCTCGGATTATATGGATATACTATGGGAAATCCAAGGGCCAAGACAACGGTACTCAGAGTAAATATGTTTGCAGCAAGGGGCAAGACAACTGTACTCAGAGTAAATATATTTGCGCGAGTAAATTTGCGTTAATATTTTTACTCTAAAATGAACAAAGTAGTCTCGTATTTTTCATCGAATAAAGTTCTGGAAACAATCACCGTAGCATTATTGTCAATATTAAGTTTTCATGCTTTAGATAATCCACGTTATATTGCTCTTGTCCAGGCCATGAGATACCTAGACCTCTTTAGCTTTCTAGGGATTGATGATTGCCGAAGTTCTTGGTGAGTGGTGGTGTGATTTAAAAACCAAGAAGGTTGTAGCATAGAGGTAACTCTAAGACTAGAATGTCCCGAAATAACGTGCTCAACTTTTTGGCTCAGCTCTGGTCTCGGCTCTGGTACTCTCTTCTGTCCCAAGCTAATCGAATCACCCCTCGAAACATAGAAAAATCCACTAACCCCTCATTTTATCTGTCAAACTTTCATAGCGAATCAAAAAAAAAAAAACATTTTGTAGTAGTAGAATTTCGACTAGAATGTAGTACGTTAACCGTTTGCTTGGGACCAATAGGCTAGTCAAGTACCCAAGTAACCAACAAGCCCGCTAATTCGCCTTTTTGCAATATAAGGCTAATATGCGACTAATATAAAGCTTACTATGTCCTATGTCAACCGTGTATCAGCCTTATATTGCAAAAAGGCGAATTAGCGGGCTTGATGGTTACTTGGGTAGTGAGCCAATTTAAAATCGTTAGTTTCGTATTGATTATTGGTTGTAGTTTGACCAAATAAATGAATAATGAATACTCAATCTCTCGTAATCGGTGAAAGAGGTTCCTCATCTTGTCGAATTACTTTCAGGTTTCAGGAAACTCGACCTTAATAATGATTATCTATAATTGAGGTGTTACCATGACCAGCAAACTTATATTTACAAGCTTCCATAACGAAAGATGAATATACATCTCCGAGAACCGTCACCAGTAACTTCCGTTGTTTCCCCTAATACTCTTGGAAAAAGACATCCATAGATACGAGTTGAAAGGGGTGATCGGAAATGGGTTGAATTTTCCTCGTCTGGTGTTATTGTGATGATCCAAATTTAAAACAGATGGATCATTGATGAATGTGGCCGGTTCATCCCAGGTCTTAATATTTAGGGAAGTTCTGGCCAACTTCATAGTTGATTCTATTTCGAAACTTACATGAGCGATCGTCGAAGGTATGCAGGAATCCCTATCTCGCTTTCTTCACACTATGATTGTTCAGAATCCCTAGGGGGTAGGTCACTCCGCACACCATTCTTAGGTCAACTTTCTGTGCCAGCAGTGCCGGTCAAGAACAAGCTGCGATTGATTGTAAAATATGGTATACTGTATATTATTATATTATGGTACATTTGGCAACCCGGTATTTCTGACAGCTTGAATGTTGTGGTTTTGCAATCGCAAGTATAACTTACACACTTAATCTAGCTCGGTAAAATCTCCAACAGCCGATTACCTCGGCATTTACTTTTGCTGATATATCTGCAAAATATCTTATTGTTAGCTGATATCTCAGCAAAAAGTTATTTGTTAGCTGAGTCTCGGCAATTGTTTTACTGAATCTCAGCAAATTAAATTGCTGAACTGCTCGGCTGTTGGAATCTCGGCGAAAAATTTTAAGTGTGTAAGGCCCAAACGCAATGTGGACGGAAGCGGAACGGAAACGGAAAGTTTGACAGTTGTCACAAATGACATCAAGAAGCCTAACCGATGTCGATTTGGTTTTAACTAGTTTTCAATCTGACAAGTAGGCTTACTCAGATCGGGCATTTCCGCTGCCGCTGCCGTTCCGCTTTCGCTGTCATTGCGCTTGGGCCTTTAGGTCTATAGTTTTTAGATACATTTTGTTCGAGCCTCAACGTCTTTTCTCTGTAGTAGCCCATAATAAAGTAACACATGGTGAAAATGTTGATTCTGTGACACTACCCCGAACGCCATAACTCCGAACGCCGCTTCCCCGAATGCCACTACCCCGAATGTCCTACTACCCCGAATGGCCATTACCCCGAAATTAAGACAAATGGAAGAACAGCAAGGGATCAAAAGAAGGGTACATTTTTTAAAAAGAAATTTCGTTTTGGAATTTATACTAAATACAAATGATATTTTTTATTGGAATTTAGAAGCACTTAATTTGCTAATATAATTATTATGTCTAGGTACATATAAGAGCATTTTTAAAAAATGATTCATGTAAATCAGTGAAGCAAGAGTTCACTATGATTCGCGAACTTTAGTAAAATGGTTTCTCGCTGATGGGTTATTCCAGTTTTCATCTATTCCGATAATATTTCATATTAAGTATTAGATCATAATATGGGAGTACTACGAAAGGCCGAATCACGAAAGGCCGAAAACACAAAAAGCCGAAAAAACTACGAGTTTTTTCGGCCTTTTGTTAATTTGTTTTTAATAAATTGTATTACATTTTTAAAATAAAGTTAGAATTATTATTATTCTGCATCTTCGAAATAAAATATAACGGAAGCTACTTAATAGCCATTCGATTTTCTTAATGAAAATTAAAAAAAAAAACTTAAAATTTGGGCAGCTTTATTTTTATGTTTGTTTGAGTGTTTAACGACGATTTAATGACAAGATGGCTTCGTTTTTTGTGAATGCGATTCAACGAGACGGCTCAGTTGTAAGAGCGGAAAGGCTTCAGATTGTGAACAGCAAACAGCAAATTAAGTGTTTCTAAATTCCAATAAAAAACTATCATTGATTCTATAACATTCCCCAGAAAACCATTCCCCAGAAAACAATTCCCCAGAATGCACCATTCCCCAGAAAAGCACTCCCCAGAATTTATCATTCCCCCAGAAAAGATGATGAAATTAGTAATTTATCACTTTTTTTTTTGTCATTTGATATTATATTTCAGTTTTATATTACAGAACAGCTTAATACATATTTTATTTATTACAATGCGCCAATTTAAGGCCCTGAATATGGATCTCTCCATCCATTGACGTTGAAAAACGTAGTAAGCTTAATCCTTTCCGAATATTTCAGAGTTTTAGACACAATGATATTTCTAATGTAAGGCATCTATAAATATACAGGTTCGCAAGTATCTTGCACACTGAATAATACATCTTCTGAATACAAATTTTCTCGATAAATTTTACACATTTGATTTAATACATTTTTCATGATTAAACTCTCTGATTAGTTTCACTTTACTAAATTGATGATGCACTACGTTTACTTTTATGGAACTATGTATTTATCAATTCCAAACCATTTCAAAGCTCTTTAGAAAATGACAACCTTCAAGTTTTCGAGCACAAAAGTGAAAGGGTCTAATATGCAATCCAATTCAACCAGTCGGAAACTGTTAAACCTTATCAATAAATTGTTCGACCTGAGTTGAAGAATTTCTCGTTATGGATTGAAAAATCGGTGCATGGAACGTTGAACTTACAAATTTATAACATTATTCCACACGTTATTATCCCAAATGGTCTTTACCCCGAATCCCTTGCCAAAAGCTATTGATTACATATTTTCCTTATATATTAAAAGAATTGAATATTCCCTTCTTTATCATACATCCAAAGAATTAATTATTTTCTCTTTTATATATTCAAAGAAAGGAATATTCCCTTCTTTATCGTTTATCCAATAATTAATTATTTCCTTTTGTTATATTTTCTAAGAAGGGATTATTCCCTTCTTTATCATATATTTAACGAATTAATTATGTTCTCTTTTATATATTAAAAGATATCCCTTCTTTATCGTATATCCAAAGAATTAATTATTTCCTATTGTTATATTTTCAAAGATGGGAAACCCCCTGTTCATTAACTACGTAGACAGTTTTTTTTTTGGGATTCTTGAGCCCCCCCCCCCTCCACCTGCGTAGACAATTTTCCATACAAATTTTTTTAAATTTGTATGGACCGTGCACAATTGCCAACCCCCCCCCCCCCTAAACTGTCTACGTAGTTTATGAACAGACCCTAAGAAGTTTTTCTTTTCTTTTTATGTACGTGAAAGAAGATTCCAGGAGTGACTATAATAAACAAAAAATGTCAATCTAATCCATGGCATACTTTTCTGGGGAATGGTACATTCTGGGAAATGCTGTTCTGGGGAATGGTACATTCTGGGGAATGAGATTCTGGGGAATGGTTTTCTGGGGAATGTTATAGAATCCTATCATTTGTATTCAGTATAAATTAGAAAAGGAAATTTCCTTCTCAAAAATTTACCCTTCTTTTAATCCCTTGCTGTTCTTGCATTTGTCTTAATTTCGGGGTATTGGCCATTCGGGGTAGTGTACTATTCGGGGTAACGGCGTTCGGGGTAGTGTACCGTTTGTCTTAACGGCGTTCGGGGTAGTGACATTCGGGGTAGTGTCACAGACAGGGGTTGAAACAGTTGACGTTTTTTACTACACTCGCTTCGTTGTCGTGCGCGACAGCCTGTTTGTATTCGAACACTCATGCTCTACCGTCGTCTCTCTCACGCAACACGAGCGGTAGAATAACATTCGAGCTAAAAGAAAATTATCAAAATAGCTATCATATGACATGTGTGATTTCGTTGTAATTCCTCAATTTGGTGTAAATCAAACCATTTCTGATCAGAAATATTATTACTAGGACATCATTACTTGATATTTTCAGAATTCACACAAGTACAACATCAGCAACTCTTAATATTAGAAAAACTCAAATACATACATACGTGACGGTCTTCGGCGACAGTGTCGTATGACAGAGCCTTTCAAATGACATTGTAGTTTGGTACTGTACTATGATAGCTTGTTTTGCAAGTGTCGGAATCAAAGGCAGTCAATTATCACAGAAAATGTGTCGACTACCGTGACCGCTTACAAGACTGGTCACAGAATCAAATATGTTCTGTCCTAGAAACTCGTGTTGCACTTTGTGATTTAAAATGATTTCTAAAGAGAGTTCCAAGGGAATTCCGTAAAAAATACCAAGGGTATCGAATTTTCACGAGACACACAGGCATTCTGAGAATATAGGGGAATTCCTAGAATATTTCTAAGGGCATCCCGAGAAGAGATAATTCTGTGCAAAATTTCAAGACCTGTGGAGATTTAAATGGAAATTATCAGGAGAATTAAATCAAATTTTAAAAATAATCAAGATGCTGCAGTAAATTATTGGAACAGTCATTAAAACTTCGAAGATAATCTTAGGATGAATTCCATGAATTTTTGGAGTGTTCTGCTTTCAGATTGTTATAAAAAAATGTCAAGACTCCCAAAGAGAAGCTCGAGTTTGTAGTTTGATCAAATTTATTTTAGAGGAAAGGAACTCTGTGAAGGAACATGATTCTAGTGGAAATCCTTGAGTACATTCCAAAAAAAATCCTGCAAAAAGTTTAGAGCGAATTTCCAAGATAGTTAAAACATAGATTGACATTCTTTTAGTAACTATCCATTAAACCTCTTTGGTTTAATCGCATTCGGTTTCATGCTTAATTTCAATGTATATAGCACAATCGATATTTGCTGGTCACCATGCTTTATGTTTGCCTCAACATTCTTCAGACATTCTCATATAATACTCAAATTAAAGTCACGAAATGCCAGAATCATGAATATTGTTCAAGTAAAAATTTTCCAAGATCTATTATTTTGATGTTTGCAAAATCTCAGATCTCAATTGATTCAATTCCAAAATTGCTAAAACAATTGCAAATTCCATTCCTTATATTTAAAAAAAATCCTACTAATGATCTATTTAGGGTCCTATTATGCAATTCGAGTCGAGCGAGTTGAGAAGAGTGACGTCACAGGTATATTTTAGTATTACAGAAGTAAAAGCGTTCACAGACTTCGAAAAATGTCTATGAAATTAAAAAAAAACATCTTTCGAGATAGCGCTCATTAAACATAAATAGAACTGATAGTAGGTACTTGGATTATTTAAAAATTGAAAAAATAAAAAAAATATTATGAATAGTGTCATCAATTAAAAAAAATACATACAAAAGCCCTCAATTTGTAAGACAATCGACAATTTCAAGCATCCATCTTTATTACCACTTTTCACTTTGATGAAAAAAAAAACAAAACATATCACTCGACTTCCTAAGCCATTTCAACTTCGTTGCTTTGGAACTTAAGCTTAATCAAAATTGCGTTCGGGTTTGTAACATCCGCCACCATTATCTCCTGTCCGTCCGTCAAGCCAAGCTCTCCGAGCGATTGGGTCAAATTGCCCTTGGTTGCCTCCTCGATACTCTTGACCGTAGCCATGTAGAGGGTCTTGTTCTTTCCACCGACGCTGGTCGTTAGACCCGGGTTCTTCATCTGAAACTCAGCACTGTCGCACAAATGTTGAATCAAATCTTGCAAGGTCATAGTGTTCGGATCGACTACATCCACCGGGCGTGGCACTTGGCTACATGCCAGACAGTCGGTTTTCTTCTCTGCCTCGTACGTGTAGGTGTAGATTCCATCGCTGTCATTGAAGACCATATAGTTATTCAACGGCTGGCAGCAGCTGGATGCAATTTTGAACACCTCCGTTGCGCATGCAGCTGCAATTACGGCATTAGTACTGGCCACAGCCGGAATGATGTTCTTCAGAACTCCCTGAACCAACCGATAGGACAAACCGGTTATGTTGAAAGTATTCGCTCGTTCTTGAGCCTTCTCGTACACCCAAGTAATATGCTGTGGCTCGTCGCCGTCTAAACTGATATCACTTCCAAATGGATTCTCCTTGGGCCATTGTATAATTTTAACATACTCAATGCAATGCTCCGGCAGGCGAGGAGTATTGGCAATGGTACACAGAGGATAGGTCACTTGAGGAGGGAACAAATCCAACGTACAATCGATACAAGCCGTCATGCCCGGCAAAATGACCCTGGCGTTCCCCTTGAACCCTTCGGTTCCACCGTCCACTAGAGGAATAATAGATGTTTCATCAACCGATCCGTCCTCCTCATACTCCACCATCGATATCAGCATTCCGTTGATCCACCGACGGGCCACAATGGAATCCAAACCACACACAATAATGTGAAACTGGCGGTAGAAACCTGCACCGAAATCCTGAATCTTACAAAAGTGGGGAGTAACCGTACAGCCTGGAATTCTTGCATTTACAAAAACAGCGGCACATTCTGCCTTAGACTTGCCAATGTCGGCTCTGCGGAACAGAAACTGCCGATTCAAGTTGGACAGCTCGATCGTATCCATATCGATTACGTGAATGTCCCGAAAGCCCATCAAGGCTAGGTCCTTCAACAGCTCGCATCCTAATCCACCAGCACCTGGAAGACAATAAATGAAACAATATAAAATTCCCTGTAAAAAAATCACAATCGGAAAACGAACCAATCACAAGAATTTTGGAAGTATTCAGCAGAAATTCCAATGTTTCGTTAGATGCCGAAAAATTGGGTGGGCAGAAGGGACCGGAGCGTTCAAGGATCTTACGCAAATGGTTCCACCTTTTACTCTGATGGTCGTTATTTTGCGTTGTGGTTTCCATTGCTTAAGTTCTGCTGAGCTATCCTAGCACAGTTTGCTACTTAAAATTCGATTCAACTGAGAAAACGATACCGGTTGCAAAATTTTGCACAAAATGTATTTATGGGATGTAAACAAAACAACACTGGGATGGTGAACCGAACGACAGCAGATGTTGTGCGAGATAAAGCCCGCCTGTCACAGCGTATGTGGCACTGAGAGAAAACGGTTGGATGTTCACATAAATAATTTGTAATTATTACGTATTTATACCCCGTTCACATTACAGCGTATATCATGTGATATACGCTGTCTTGCAATGAGCACTCATACATCTAGTTTTCACTGAAAATCCTATGTATGAGTGCTCATTGCAAGACAGTCTATATTACGTGATATAGGCTGTAATGTGAACGGGGTATAATACCAAGGGGTAAGACAACTGTACTCAGAGTTAATTTATTTGCAGTGAGTAAATTTGAGTTACTCATATTTACTCAAAAACAAACAAAGCTGAAATGAGTCTTTGCAACCTTGGTTCAAACAATCCCCGTCTGACAGAATGTTTTGATTTCAAGATTTAGTTTTCATTCATTAAAAGATCCAAGTTTGATGGCTCTTGTCCAGGCCAGGGGATGTTTAGGTCTCTTTTCCTTTCTAGGATGGATGGCTAAAGTGTAATGTCTTTGAAGTTTTTGGTCATGTGGTGGTGTTAGTGTTTCTATATCCCAGCCATTTCTGATTACCTGGGAATCTTTAAATAGCTGAAGACTCTTCCCGGGAATCGGGAAATATTTTCGGCAGTTATTTATTAAAACTTGAACTTCGTCAGGATTTCCTCCGGAAGATTTTTCCGACTATTTCTGGAAGTTAATTCCAACTTCCCCTTGAAGATTTCGATCAGCTTCTTCGGATGGATTCTTATGATTTCTCTGGGAGGTTTCGTCTGACTTTGCACGAAAGTTTCTTCCAACATCTCCTGGAAGTTTTTTTTTTAAACTTGCCCTGAAAGAATCTTCCACCTTCCCCGCAAATTTCGTCCATTGTTCAACGGAAGTTTCATCATCTTTTCTTTCTAACAGTATCAGATAACAATCAGAAGTCCTACCGCTAGAAGTGGAAACTATTTCCCATTTCATCCGGACTTCCCACGGAAAACTTTTCTGAATTATTCTGAAAGTTTCATCCGGCTGCCTAAATTTGCATGGAAGTCTCTTCTATCTTCGCCCGGGAATTTCTCAAAGATTGTGTCAGAAGCATCTACCGGTTTCATTTGAAAGATTCTTCGCCAGAAAGCTTTCCTGACTTCGCACTAAAAATTCGTCAAACTTTCTAAGGAAATTTCAATCAATGTTCCCCAAAATTTGTGTGGTCATTTTAAATATAACATATGTTTAAGATGGTTTTCGTACAAAAAAAAAAACTGCTTCTCGGGAAGTCAAACTAGTTTTCTGAGAATCGGGAAATGATACTTACCTTACCTTACCAATCAGGCTAAGGCCTTGTTGTCCTCTGCTGTCCGAAGAAGTCGTCTCCACTCTACTCGATCCATGGCCACAGTTCGCCAGCCTCGTAGTCTGCGAAGGGTCCGCAGGTCACCTTCTACTTGGTCGATCCACCTTGCCCGCTGCGCGCCTCTTCTTCTTGTTCCTGTTGGGTCGCTTTCTAGAACCATTTTCACTGGGTCGTCGTGCGGCATTCTTACGACGTGCCCAGCCCACCGTAGGCGCCCAATTTTTGCAATGTGGACGATGGATGGTTCTCCCAGCAGCTGGTGCAATTCGTGGTTCATTCGCCTCCTCCACGTTCCGTCATCCATCTGCACTCCACCGTAGATGGTACGCAACACCTTCCGTTCGAAAATACCAAGGGCGCGTTGGTCCTCCACGAGCATAGTCCAGGTCTCGTGGCCGTAAAGGACCACCGGTCTAATCAGCGTCTTGTAGACAGTCAACTTCGTGCGGCGGCGAATTTTATTCGACCGGAGCGTCCTCCGGAGTCCAAAGTAGGCACGATTCCCTGCCATAATGCGTCTTTGAATTTCTCTGCTGGTATCATTTTCGGCGGTCACCAGTGAGCCCAAATACACGAACTCATCGACCACCTCGATTTCGTCACCGTCAATCTGAACTCGGGGTGGGAGGCTAACATTGTCTTCCCTAGAACCTCTTGCTTTCATATATTTTGTCTTTGATGCGTTGATGGCAAGTCCAATCCGTCTAGCTTCAGCCTTCAGTCTGATGTACGTTTCCGCCATCATCTCAAAGTTCCGTGCCATAATGTCAATGTCATCGGCGAAACCAAGGAGCTGGATGGACTTCCTGAATATCGTGCCACTCGTGTCTATCCCAGCTCTTCTGATCACACCTTCTAACGCGATGTTGAACAGCAGACACGAAAGTCCATCACCCTGCCGTAACCCCCTTCGAGATTCAAAGGGACTCGAGAGTGTCCCCGATACTCGAACAACGCACGTCACTCGATCCATCGTCGCCTTGACCAATCGCGTCAGTTTATCCGGAAATCCGTACTCGTGCATAATCTGCCATAGCTGATCTCGATCGATTGTGTCGTATGCGGATTTGAAATCGATGAACAAATGATGTGTGGGCACGTTGTATTCGCGGCATTTCTGCAGAACCTGCCGAATCGCGAAAATTTGGTCCGTGGTAGCGCGGGCACCCATGAATCCCGCCTGGTATTGCCCCACGAACTCTCTTGCATATGGTGACAGACGGCGGCATAGAATTTGGGAGAGTACCTTGTAGGCGGCGCTCAGCAGTGTGATCGCGCGGTAGTTGCAGCAATCCAACTTGTCGCCCTTTTTGTAGATTGGGCATACGACACCTTCCATCCACTCCTCCGGTAATATCTCCTCCTCCCAAATCTTGGCAATTACCCAGTGCAGCGCTCTAGCCAGTGCTTCACCACCGTATTTCAATAGCTCACTTGGTAGTTGATCTACACCAGTTGCTTTGTTGTTCTTCAGCCGACCGATCTCCTCCTCAACTTCTTGAAGATCAGGGGCCGGTAGCCTGTCGTCTTCTGCGCGTGCTCCAAGGTCTGTTGCCGTACCACCTTCGTTTTCTGCTGCTTCACCGTTGAGGTGCTCGTCATAGTACTGCTTCCACCTCTCAATCACCTCACACTCGTTCGTGAGAAGGTTACCGTCCAAGTCCTTGCACATATCGGCTTGCGGCACGTAGCCTTTGCGCGAACTATTTAGCTTCTCGTAGAACTTCCGTGTGTCGTTTACGCGGTACAGATTTTCCATCGCCTCGCGATCTCGATCTTCCTGCTGACGCTTCTTCCTTCGGAAAACCGAGTTTTGTCTGTTCCGCGCTTGTCTGTATCGCTCCACATTCAATCTCGTGCGGTGTTGCAGCATTCTCGCCCGTGCTGCATTCTTCTCCTCTACTAACAGTTTGCATTCGCCGTCAAACCAGTCATTTCTTCGGTCCGGGATTGCAGTACCTAGTGCCGCTACAGCAGTACTACCTATGGCTGAACGGATGTCCCTCCAGCCATCTTCAAGAGAAGCTGCGCCAAGCTGCTCTTCCGTGGGTAGTGCAACTTCCAGCTGCTGCGCGTAGTCCTGGGCAACTCCGGTGTCCCGTAGTTGCTCAATGTTGGGTCGTGGCGTTCGACTTCGACGTGTGTTATGCACCGTCGAGAGTTTTGAGCGCATGCATACTGCAACTAGGTAGTGGTCCGAATCTATGTTCGCACTGCGGTACGTGCGGACGTTGATAATGTCGGAGAAGAATTTCCCGTCGATTAGAACGTGATCGATTTGGTTTTCTGTGTGTTGGTCAGGTGATCTCCAGGTGGCTTTGTAGATATCCTTGCGGGGGAAAAAGGTACTTCGAACTACCATACCCCGGGAGGCTGCAAAGTTCACGCATCGTTGGCCGTTGTCGTTCGATACGGCATGCAGGCTGTTTGGCCCGATTGCCGGTCTATACATTGCCTCCCGTCCTACCTGAGCGTTCATGTCGCCGATGACGATTTTGACGTCCCGTTGCGAACAGCCGTCGTACACCTGCTCCAGCTGCGCATAGAACGCTTCTTTCTCGTCGTCGGGTCTCCCTTCGTGTGGGCAGTGCACGTTGATGATGCTGTAGTTGAAGAAACGGCCCTTAATCCTCAACTTGCACATCCTCGCGTTGATCGGCTGCCAACCAATCACGCGTTGGCGCATCTTACCCAGCACTACAAAGCCGGTTCCCAGCTCGTTGGTGGTGCCACAGCTCTGGTAGAAAGTAGCCGCTCGATGCCCGCTTTTCCATACCTTTTGTCCCGTCCAGCAAAGTTCCTGCAGTGCTACGACTTCGAAGTTGCGTGGTTGAAGTTCGTCATAGATTAACCTATCGCAACCCGGGAAGCCGAGCGATTTGCAGTTCCATGTTCCGAGTTTCCAATCGTAGTCCTTATTTCGTCGCGTAGGTCTGTGCCGATTGTTCCGATCCGTATTTCTTTCTTCGGTATTTGCAACTTTGTTTTTTCCAGGGCGGCTTGTTGGGCCTGCCCCAATCCCCTGTCTCGCCGGGGGACCATCGTGCACAGCTCTGTTTAGAGTCCCACGCTGGCACTAGGACGGTGATCAGCCGCTCCTAACATGGAGAACAGACGCCGTTTTGAGCCGCACCTCCATGGTGAGCAGACGCTCAGGTTTGGTGAAGCATTTCCTCTATCACCGTACTATGGTTACCGCGCCAGTGTTCGCGTCGCACCTCTTCACTTTGCTATTGCCGGACTGGCAACATTGCCCAGGCTACGCCAACCAGCTGTGTCCATGTTTCAGCTGGTAGTCTTTTGTTATCATATGACTCGAGGAGGCGTGAAGTAGGAACTTGTGAGGACCAGGGCTAGGTATTCCGCTCCTTCCAGGTTGTCAACTCACCATTTTGTAGCCCAAATGATAATTCTGGTAAATTGGTAAATTGCCCGGGCAGGAAACACTAGATGGTGTGATTTCAAAACTAAGGAAGTAAGAATTTGGCCAAATGTTTTCAGAAGATGAATTTATCTCATGAAAATTAATACTCAATGTCACAAAACCGTTCAAAGAGGTTTCATATTTTGTTGCAATGTTAAAGTTAGGGTCAACTCTCTCCAGAAGCG